ACACATCAATCTGGACGCAAGATTGGCCCGGGCCACACATTGTCCTGTGCAAACTGAACTAAACTGAACTGAACTGACTGAAGGTCTTAGGTAGCTCATTGTAGCTAATCCATGCGCTACACTGTGCTGCTTGTGGTGTAACGACCTTGGCAGCGTTCCGTTCCGTCACTGGACCTTTTGGTTCAGGGTGTTTGCATTTTCGTCCCTTTCAGGTTGTCAGTCAAACCCCTCTCCACGGGGGACATCGTCTGTCGACGGTTCTAGCCCACACATACACTCAGCCCACTTGCGGTTGTCTGGTGTGTCCGTTCACACGGGACATCCTGCCGCACACACGAGCCAGGCATCTTACACTTGCAGCTCCAGCCAGTATGGTAGTCCAGGTTCTTGCATCTGCGGGTCACGTATGTTCCGTGGTTCTTCGACGGTGTGATCATCGGTCCTTGATAGTGTAAGAGTACTGCTTCGGAGCAGGGACGCCAATCCGGCTTGCTGTCGAAAGCAACACCAGCTGATTAGTCAGGTTAACCAGGACGTCTGAGTACCTTTCCAGCAAACATCAAAGAACCCGCGACCATGCGATGATAAATTACGATAAAATAAGACACTTGAGCTATTACGGGGAGGAGTGTGGGCAGATAAGAATTGGATCAATGAAGATGAATAGTCGTTGAATAGGTGGTGATAAAATAGGTAACATTAAAGAATGCGAATGCCTTTGGACGGGTTAGGAAGCAAGAAGATGTAAGCTATATTTATATTTCATTTTATTTCACAAGTCTGAGTTCAGACTTTGTGCCGAAAAAATCGCGGTACAATAATCTTCATAAGAGGAAAACCTTCCACGATTTGCATGTGGGCAGGATACTGCCAGGTTACCCAGGCCAAGAGAGGTATACTATCACCAAAAACTGACTATTTTTCCCGTTCGTTTGATTCAGGGAAAGATCCAGGTAAGCTGCAAGCTATTTTGGACAGCATGAATGCCAGTGTAGCCACATTCGGTATGCGTTTTGCACCTTCAAAGTGCAAAATGTTACTACAAGACTGTAGTGGCTTGAGACCGACAGTTTAACATCCTCGAGAGTTATCACCNACCACCTTTGGTCTGCCTGTTCCGCATGTATGCTTTCGCATGGTTGCAGGCATTAGTTGCTTGGAGCATTCGCTCGTGCATCCTTCTCCTTTGTAGCATAGATCTCGCCAGGCTCTTCGATATCCTAAGACCGCTTCCGGTGGGGCAGCCGGACGAGCAATCCTGGGGTTAGGCGTAGAGTTTTAGGCATTCGCGGTGGTCCACTGGAGCAAATGGTCGACCTCCGCAGATTACGCTGGTTGGGGCGTGTTTTACGTATGCCACCAAATAGGTGGCCACGGCGAGCGATGTTCACCGAGACAGATCGTGGGTGAAATAAAGCCCAGGGTGGTCAAGATAAGACCTGGCATGAGGGTATGAAAACCCTGACCAAGGGACTAGGTCACATAAGTCCTATTAGGCTCCCTGGCTGGGGACCATGAAATGATCATAACCGATGGTCAGAGACACTGAATGATATGGCTGGGTATCGTAAACAGTGGCGTTCTTGCATTTGCTAAATTTCTTTTCAACTTTAGACCACTGGAATTCTCCTTTTTGTGTTCCACTCTACTTTCAAGTTTCCTGTCTTCTATTCTTCATCCAAATGGGCAGCCAAAAGACAGAAACCGGCGCACGGAAATGCATTGTTAATGATTGTACAAACTGAACTGAACTGAAACCATAACACTTTTGATAGTAAAATGAAATGAATAATTCCTAGATGAAATTGGCCCTTTAAAGTTTTGGCTCTTGTGTGTGTGCACCAGCTCCCCCACTAACCTTAAATTTCCGTGAGTATATGATTATTGCCGTCTACCGTAATTAGTATTGACTGAATGAAAAAAACATTGGTGAAAAATTGTCCCCTCGCCACTGATAGTCGAACTTTGTTCTTTGTCCAGCTAACATTTCGTCATCGAGTTGTGACATCACTCAGATGTTTCACACTGTCTTGTTAAACTAACCTCCTCCCATACACACTTAAAAAATGGCTGCTAACTTTATTTACCCTGGAATAAACACAGACAATCTTTGAATGCAATTTGTTAGCCTTCTGGATTATGCTATTGAAGGTGCAATGGTTTAGTCGTTGTCACTAGAGTGTTTTGGACGTTATAGTCCGAGGTTCGAACGCCAACACCGCCACCTAACTGGTGGTAGGCAGTATGTTGTCGTCCGGTTCAGTACCACACCTAATCTAGAAGGGCCTTATGTGGCTCGTCACTCCAAGTTCTGGGGCTTAGGCTACCGGTTTTCATCACTGAACAGCAGGTCTTCGCGACTTTGAGGTCCTTCCCGTCTTCTGTTTCTTACACAAACGTGTAATAAAAGGTGTTGCAAAGTGCATATATATGTATTCGCTTTGCCTGTTACATTAGCATCAGTTGCGCCTACCAAATATGACCACTGATGAGTTCTTATTTTGTCCTATTTTCAGGCTCTACCTCAGACGTAACCCAGCTAATAAAACGATGCGTTCCGCCCTCGTACCGGTATCATTTGTTCATCGTGCATATGTTTTGGTTAATCCGATGACAAAATGTCTCTTACGGCTCCCGTCTCGTTCCTTGTCAAACAAGGACCAGTTAAATACGATCCAGCTGACCCCATTGCAAAAGGTTCTGTTGAATGTGGGCAGTGGGATCGGTGTGTTTTTTGATCCCCGTCGTGCTGGTTTGTTTATATCTTGTGCCCCCTGTCATGTTTTTTCTTTTAGATTTGCTTTCCACTTTTGGTGAGGTTACTGGTGCTCCCGCTCTGCGCTATATGCGCCAAAAAATGCTTCAAGACCCTGTTGGGTCGCGAATCTTGCTGTAAGACATTTGTTCAACTAACTGTATGTCGCTCGATAGGGAGAAACCGCGAATACGCACATATACAACAGACCTAGACTTTCTGCGCCAACTACCGGACAATAGTTTTGGCAAAGCATACGTTACCTTCTTGGATCATTACGTAACCACTCGTTTTGTTTTCTCACGTCTGTTGTAACCGATTGTTTTACTTCCGTGCAGCACTATTCTCCAGACGAACGCCACATTGTGCGGTTCATCGAGGATCCCGAGCTGGCTTATGTAATGCAACGATATCGAGAGATTCATGATTTGGTGCACACTCTGCTGGAACAACCAACCGATATGCTGGGAGAAGTCGTAGTCAAATGGGTCGAGGGGTTACAAAATCGACTCCCAATGTGTATAACTGGAGGCATGTTTGGATCCCTCAGACTGGCTCCTAAGTAAGTTGAATCGCTTATGCGTATCCCACGGATACTGGTATTTTCTATTTCAGTCCTGGTCCATAATACCTTCAATGCCAGGTTTTTCAATGTGATCTGTAAAGATGTGCAAGTTTGAATTTTTCTTGTTAATTGTGGTCTGACACGTCGTGTCTTGGCACCGTTGGTGATCGAGGTATCCGGGATGGTGAGCACTTAGCATCGTCCAAGGAGTCTCTGCCTACAGTCATCCTTTGTGGTGATCTTCTGGACGTAGTTACGAGCTTTAAGTACCTTGGGAGCATGATCGTAGCTGAAGGCGGTGTTGGAAAGGAGATCACATGATGAATAACAAAAGCTAGGACAGCTTTTGCCAACCTACGACACCTGTAGTGCCACCGTGACCTCCATAGATTACGCTGATTGGGACATGTTTTACGCATGTCACCAAATAGGTGGCCACGGCGAGCGATGTTCGCCGAGACAGGTAGTGGGTGAAATAAAGCCCAGGGTGGTCAAGATAAGACCTGGCATGAGGGTATGAAAACCCTGACCAGGGGACTGGGTTGCATAGGTCCTGTTAGGCTCCCTGGCTAGAAACCTCGGAATGGTCGTAACCGATGAAAAGAGATACTGAATGATATGACTGGGTGTCGTAAACAGTAGCGTTCTTGCGTCCTGTCAATTTCCCTGCAACATTAGTCCACCGAAATTCTAATGCTTCCCTTGGATCCTACTTTCAACCTTTCCTGTCTTTCTCCTAATGTTCATCCAAATGGGCTGCCAAAAGACAGCAACCAAAACCGGTGCACAATAGTGCATGTTAAGTGGTTGTATCAACTGAAACTGGAACCGTGATATCAGAATTTCCTTTAATGGGAAAGTGTACATCGCCGTGGTTCGTAGTGTTCTGCTGTTTCCTTATTCCAGCACGGTGTTTTGTGATAGATTATTTCAAATGGAGGGAAGTAACGTATTGATGATCCGCGTAGGCGTTTCATCGAGTGAAGATCAACATTGTTCACCTGTTCGGGTATGGGTCTTATATCTTCAAGTCACTTAAATTTTCGGATTTAAATTGTTTTTCTATGACGCTGACGAAAAGTAAACCTCTAATCAATGGCTGAAAAAATAAAGAAAAGTACACTCGCTGTTATCCCCTATTTTCAAATTGTAAAATAGTCCCATGGACAATGTAGAAAATGGTGTTCGCGGAGAAATTTCTTTTCGATATATCGCATCAGGCTTTAATCGGCCAATCAGATATCTGTACGCCGGATGCGATATATTGAAAATAAATTCCTTTGCGAACACCGTTTCCTTTGTTTCATATTTGGCCTTTTCTCGAACTACTACTTCTACGTTAAATATCCTTTTCCCTTTATCCATTTCATCAACACAGGAAGACCAGTTCACCCCCATATCAAATTGTCATCTTCCTTGACCTCAATCCCCAACCAAATACAAATCACTCAACTCACTTGTCCACCACTTTGTTCAAATGACTCATTTCAACTCATGCTTCTTCGTTTCACATGATGATGTAAACTACTGCTATTATTGAAGTTTATTGAACGTATATTAGACAGCTTCGCATTCAACCCTCAGGTCATACGGCGAGCCTTCCGCTCGGCAGCCAGTAAACTCCATGATTGTTCGGATTGCAGCTCATCGACCCGCTCGTTTGTCCATGGACTTTTTTATAAAGATTATTGGACCTTGAACTCAGACGTGTATGAATATATATATATTCATTGTTTTTTATCATTACGTTAACCAGTTCACTTCACAAACAATCCGAATTGCCGAGTTATGCCTGTTCACGTTTTGTCAATTTTTCGGGACAAGATTTTCGGTTTGGAAGTTTATGGATCCACTTCATTTGATGTTTATTTTTATATTCTCGATTGTCTTATCTACAATACGCGGAATATCGTACGCTGCGGTTGTTGTTTCGTTTACCTGTTTTTTTCTACTACGCATGTATCTGGATAAAAGATCGATCAAAACTCAATATGCTCATCTATAAATACTGTCAACCTCCTTTGATCACAGACAAACAAAAAACTATCTGAACAATCATTTGGACTATGCGTTGCGTGTCGGTCTGCACGGGCACTTCTTGATGAACGTCTACTTCGAGGAGCATTGGGCCGACGATATGGCTACGTTCCGGACCTCGTTAAACATTCCCGCACCACCTAAACGTCTTCCAAAGAATAAGTTCAAACAGAAGAAAGCTGGCGAATAGTTAAGAGTCTCTGCCTGTTGTCCCTTTCGTTCCCGTTGCTGTTTCACCCTATCTTCTCTGCCACCCAGAACTTTATCAGAAGTTGTACAGTTCCCTCACTGATCATCATGCGTTAAACGTGATTTAATAAAGTATATTGTTGCATTATTTGTTTATCCTCTATTCTCCCTCTCCCCACGACCTTCTACCATTGACAAATCAAACCCTCTGACGCGTGTTTTAAAGATCCCAATTCGCACCCGTTTGTAAATTAAAATCTGTCTAGTAGTATACGTGTCGGTGCGTATCTGTGATAACTCACTTCATAAAGCTAGCCGGCGACTGATCTATTCCGTCTCGAATTAATCCTCACCAGACCAAATACGTTCGATGATGACTGATTCAACGAAAACTAGCATTTTGAACCTTTTTCTTGAAATATAAATTGGTAGAAACTCAATGATCAGCCAGCTCTAGGTTGACCTTTGTGTTGAAACCGCTGTTTGTATGCTAATAAGTGTGGACACTGGTATCGATATTCGACTAGTCCAAAATGCCTATCGACTTGAAGTGAACGATAAAACGGTCTGCACTGAAATAGAATGTCGGGTTGTTCCATGTTTAAGTTTGTCTGTACATTCATGCTCGATTGATGCAGTTTTGTTTGAATTGCTGCACTCTATTCTAGTTTCCTTTCCATCCTCAGACGAGCATAACGGGAGATCCTTGGTGAGGTCCAGCCGCATTGGTGACCCAATGCGGCTGCCCGCATTTCTGCCCGAAAAGATGTTACAATGCATGCCTTAGCTGTGTCGCTTTTCTGAAATAAATCCGTTCAAAAAATTCATATTGTAGAAACAGTGGGAGTTTCGATCAGACACTCTTCGTTCCGGAAAAAAATCAGAGGTCTGGGATGTAGGCTGGACGTCCTCAACAACTTGTTGAACAATGAAGCTGGGGGACGACGAGCTCAAGTGTATAAAATGGTTGGACAGTATTAAGAAAAAATCCATACTTTACATTCACCTCTTCCGACCTTTCCGATCCGATTACAAATTTGGACAAGCGGCTGAACTTTTGTTCTTTCTCATCTCGAAGATTTTGTCAGTATTTTTCTTGCGAGTTCTCTGTGATGCTAGTAGAAATGTGCGCAGGTCCTTTGTGTTAAAGTGGACGTCTGGTATGTTGTTTAGAATGTTATCAAAACTGGATGACTGTTGTTCTTTTGCCTCAAAGTTCCAAACAGACCACTTCTCGTCCACGTACTCAGCCCATATGAGCATACTTTAATTTCCATTATATAAGGTTAACTTCGTCCACTGTAGGCTCATACTTCGATGAACGAAAAGCACGCCTCACAATGCCTAGTCTAGGAAAAGTAAGCTAACTCGGTCGAGGTGGAATTTCTGCTTTACCCTGTCGTCTGGGATGCGTTCGTAGCAGTGCATAACAAGGGCTGGGGCGCATCGAAAAAAAAACAGTTTCCGAATTGACGATTAAGTGAACCATTTACCGTTTCAAGTTTTATTTTTAAAAACTATAATTCCGAGTTAGAAAGTCACATCAGTTTGAAAAACTGAGTTCCACTTGAGAATTAAACTGTGATCGAATCCGTTTTCGTTCAGCGCACCTCAGTGGTCAATTAATGGGATGTTTTTCCGACCTCTTGATTGACAACCTCTTCCTACGCTCTTTTGGTGCGGAAGTAAACAAAGTTAAATCTTGCGTCTTTTCAAGCTCACGGACAAACGAATGTCTATTCGGTGAATCGGTGAAGCCCTTGCGATTTGCGCGAGACAGTTAAGCTGACCCCAACCCTGTAAGCGCAAGTAGCGATGCACTGTTTTTCCTGCGAGCTAAACCCAAGGCAAAGCTGGGCATAGTCTCTCGGACACTGACGATAGCGCAATCATCGAAGGTTACCACAGTAACTACGATCATAGACGAGTTAAGTGAGTGCGATGTACTCCATGCGCTGAATGTTTCATTACGTGAGTCATGGGCTTATTCGAACAACAGAATCTTCGAGAGGCTCAGGTCGTAGTTATTGTGGCTGTTTTTTCCTCAGTGGGCTAGCTACCACAATCAGGAAGCTGTAGCTTGTCTTCACAGTTTCGTGAATATAGGCATTTTTGGTCCAATGATCAATCGAAATGAACGGAACAGAACAAAGTCCATTTTTATGATACATTCAAATAGGATACCGATTGCCAGAAAAAGTAGTGCCGCGTGAAAAAATGACCACAGAATAAGGAATCATAGTGGAAAACTTACTCACCTGCTCGCAGTTAACAACCACACTGAGCGCACATACACTGTTGAGACACTAAAAATCAACTGTAGCAATCTTTCGGTAAAAACGAGAGATGATTGGAGGGAAATGAACAACGGTCATTTCTTCAATGAAATTATTCAGATGGGCAAATGTTTTCTAATTATAAA